TTCACATTGGTGACACACCCATTCCCCCCTCATCAACAGTCAAAGATCTTGGTGTCAACTTTGAATGTGATCTGTCAATGGAGAAGCAAGTCTCAGAGTTATGTAAATCTTGTTACTACCACATCCGAACCATTGGCAGTATCCACCATCTTCTGACTGAGGATTCTACTGCAGCACTTGTTCAATCTCTTATACTTTCCTGTATTGACTACTGCAACAGCCTTCTGCTCCATATCTCACAGGAACTCATTAATCGACTCCAGAGAATTCAGAATACTGCAGCACGCATTGTCACCAAAACCCCTAAATTTGCAGGTATTACACCTGTTCTGAAACGCCTACATTTGTTACCAATCCGAGCGAGAGTTGACTTCAAGATACTGACTTTGACATATCAGTGTGTTCACAGAACAGCTCCAGTGTACCTCCAGGAACTCTTCAGGCTGTACATCCCCGGTAGACCGCTGCGCTCCAATCACAGAGACCTACTGCATGTTCCTTGTTGGCACCTGAAATCAAATGGTTTCCGTTCTTATCATGCGGCAGCGGCCAAGAAATGGAACGAATTGCCCGACCATCTGTGAACATGTCAAACTCTTACTCTATTTAGGTCTCACCTGAAGATTCACCTTTTCTCAGTATCGTATCACTGCAACTAGAACTCTCTGTATGCGCTATGAGCAAGCTCGCGGCGTGAAAATGTTGGCGCTTTAGAAATATACTTATTATTATTATTATTAAAAAGGATTAACAGAGTTGTCTCTCTTGAATGAAACCAACCACTTGATAGCTGGTCAAGGTTGTTTATACTAGAAATCCAATTAAACATATTCCTAAAATTCTCAATAATTTCTGGTCATACTATACATGTTTATTCCCAAGTTGAAACTAACAATTAACTGGGAAAATCATATTGTAAAAGAATGAGGTGTGAAACCAACAATAAACAAACACATGTGATGTAATTAACAATTGTATATCATAAGTAACCAAGTTTACGCTATGACAATACAAACTAGAGTGGCAATACAAATACACAAGCCGTTTAATGCAAAATAGTGTATTTGCAAATAACTTGTATTGCAATATATTGGCAATATCATGCAGTCCTCTCTAACCATCACCCCCAAATCAAACACGCCATTATATCAACTCTGACGAGACGAGCCAAGGGTTTATGGACAAGAAGTTGACCTTTTAAAATTTCGCTATGGACATGAAGTCGACCCGCGGTAAACTTTGATGTTGAAGGTGTTGCGAGAATCAAGCTAATCCACTAGTAGGTGTTGTTTTAAGATTTTCAATAACGTCAGCATCCGTAAGGTGTGAACAATGTTTACTCACGTAGTTCACTCAAAATGTCATCAATTGAGAGTGAATTATGCACTGATAGACATATTTCATTCAATTTAGATATATGTATAGAAAGCACCATTGCAATAGACTGCATTCAGTTTCGAAATGGCAAATGCACAGTTGAATCAGCGATTTCTTCCAACATCTCGTAGTGGAAGGTACCTGTGTGTTGGTGTATTTATGTACGGAGTGCATAAGTGAAAGCGAGATTTGATATCCTGGAAGTGCACAGAAAAGAACTGTACCTCCTTTCATGGCGTTAACTGTCAATGACACTGTGTCATCCATAGATCCCAGTGGAACCACCACAATTTCGACAGCCCCCGCCCAACAACCATCTGGAAGGGTGGCACTCTCGTCTGAAGAGATTGGTGGGAAACGCCCACCCCAATATTTTTTAAATAATCACAGTTTTTGCTAAGGACTCACATTGAAGTCTGCCTGTTTCAGTTTGGCGGTGCACAAAACGTCAATTGAAAAAAAGAAATACAGGGACTTGGAACGTCGTCTGATTTTGTATATGAAATAAAATGGACGAAATATAGTAGTGTTTTCCTGTTGCTTGTGCTCTCAACTGCATAATCCGTATTATGCCTTATGAAAACACTGGATTATTTCTTTGTCTTTGTTAATCCCCTGTTAACCGGCGTGAGGTCAATTGACAGGACGTCAACCTTTTTTTCGTAACTCAAGCGTGACATTTCACCCAAGGGTCGACGTCCTGTGCAGACATCGAGCAAGTCCATCTGCTACCCGAAGCTGAAATAGACCATCTTAGCAATCACATTCTTCAACCTCAATGGCTATCCCAAACATGTTGTAGACAGAACCACAGGATATTCCCTCCAACAGCAAGAAGAATGCCAATCCAAACCTGAGCCATCCCCGCTTAGAATAAACATTCCCTATCAAGGCCAGATCAGCCACCACATCAGCCTACTGCTCAAGAAAACTGCCAGCATAGACGTGACTTTCTGCCATGACAAAACTCTAAAAACCATTCTGAAGGCCAATGGAAGATGTCCTTCATCTAACTCAATTCAGGAAGCCAGCGGTTGCATCTACAGGCTAATGTGTGACTGTGGCAGCAGCTGTTTAGGAGAGACATCCTGTTCCTTTGACATTAGGTTCAAAGAGCACAAAACCTTGGTGCTGAAATCAGATCTAAGTCAGCCCTATCTGATCACATTGTGAACAATCCATCACGCTTCATTAACTGGCATTCAACAACCACCATAGCATCAAACATCCAATGCCATGATTGGCGACGACGCAAGATTTCAGAGTCAATCAGCATTAAAAGATTAGAGCCACACATGAAAAGAGATCAAGGGGTTTATCAACTCATTGCCTGGCAAATTCATTGGTCTCATTTCGTCAATCGCCTCTTAACCCACTATAACAGCATCATCCCTACCTTTTGTATGTCATCCACTCTGTTGTACATCAATTGCACACATTGGCTTCTATTACTTACCCAACCCGTGAAGGATGGTTTAGAATTGGTCTCAGTAACCCATGCTTGTCGTAAGAGGTGACTAACCTGATTGGGTGGTCAGGCTCGCTGGCCTGGTTGACTCATCGCTTCCCAATGGCGCAGGTCGATGCTCATGTTGTTGATCACTCGATTGTCAGGTCCAGACTCGATTATTTACAGACCGCTGCCATATAGCTGGAATATTGCTGAGTGCGGCGTAAAACTAAACTCACTCACTCACTTTCACTTACCCACTTAGTCTACTGTAACAACACCATATCTGCTTTTGTATATTTATTCTTTTTCATCTCATAGCGTAGGGTAATAGGGGGTGGGGTACACGCGTGGAAAATTTTGACCCATCCTAGTCCTAATACACACTGATACTGACAGTGGATATGTGCATCTGCAAATTTACTACTGGGGTATGTTCCTGAAATATCTTCAGAGTTAGGAGAAGACCATGACTAAAATCTACATCACACAAAAGGTAATCTTCTATGTGACCAAAAGATAAAGACTAGTAAATATGTTATATTTCATGCTTCTTTAGTGGCAGGGGGCATTGCCATGTTAGTGACAAACACTTGTTTGGTACATCCTAGACTGGATAACAAATTTGTCCATGGTACACTGAAGTCTTATCCATCTGCTTTCCTGTGTTTTTCACAATGACGTATGAGCAGCTAGCAACCATCCTACAATGAACAGGCATGAACACCTAGACATTCCAATGATATTCCCAAAATGGAAAATTTCTTTTATATGCTTTCAAGGTGAACCATTTGAACCTTTGGCAAATGCTACATTGATCCCTAAATCAAAGACAACTGCCTTCATATTAGCCAGGGGCGGTGGGGTAGCCTAGTGGTTAAAGCGTTGGCTCGTCACGTCGAAGACCCGGGTTCGATTCCCCACATGGGCACAATGTGTTAAGCCCATTTTCTGGTGGCCCCCCGCCGTGATATTTGCTGGAATATTGCTAAAAGCAAGCGTAAAACTGAGCTCAGTCAGTCAGTCATATTAGCCATGGTGACTGCAGCTGGAATCTCTGAACTGTTTAAGGCTCATGGATGAGAACTGACCCCACAGCTTTGTGACCTACATTAGATCAACCTGACTGTTATCATGTCCCATTCAATAAAAAAATTCTGGCCACTAAAGCACCCAAATGGTGTTGGAAAAAATTGTTTATATGTCTTGTAAGAAGTGTTATGAAAGGGACGTCGGTAGAACCAGTGGCAGGTTGGCTTGTCTACATGGCTCTATATATAGCTATGAAGGGTTAGTAAACCTTTTTAAAATGCCAACAGAAGTGAGGACATCTTAAAAACCAAAAATGACATTAGTGACATTTAAAAGAAGCACAAGATTTCATACATGGAAGGATAATGATGACATTAACCCAGAAGTGATATCAAAGACAGAAGGAAAAGAAGACAAAAGAGAGATCTCAACCAAAATTGCTTTATGAAAGTATGTCAAGAGTGAAAACCTGCCATTCAATCTGGCATGTTGTGGCAATGATATAACAGAGGTAAAGGGTTTGGAAGAATATAAAAAATATATATTCATTGTTAATAATAGTAAGAAAACTATATATATCAGAAATACTCCATTCATACTGTCTCTAATTGAATGATGTATGGAAAGAAGTGAGGAAACATTTTTTCCACCTTTGTGCACGGAAAAACTTTAGGCTGATAGTGCTACTGTTATTACAGTTGGTACATAAGAGTATGTCTGTTGAAGATCTGAAAGTTTAGTTTTACTGAGATTGGAAACAAACTGTAGCAATAATGTCATTGAGGTAGCATTCTTAGAAACATTAACACTGATGACTATTGCTTTGATACAAGCTAAATTGCCTTATGTTAGGGTTCAGGAAGGTCATGCTGCCTCATCTTTTACCTATGATCTTTTGACCTGACCTGAGGACAATGAAAGGTTTTACAAGAAAATGCTGAAGTGAATGAGCAGCCATCAGCCAGGTGAAAGAATTGTACGGAACCAAATATACATGTAAATCTTTATATATTTGCCCTTCTCTGACTTGACTCTCTCTCTCCTCCTATTGTTTGAACAGCCTGTTCCTCAGCTGGAGTTGCTTAGTGCATCTCATAAAAGGGCACAGGTGTATTTCAGTGAATTTTTCTTGATGTTTCAGGCTATTATTCAGAAGAAGGGAGATCATGAAGAAAGTGAATCCAGACTCTTGACCAAACAGGTATCTAGTTTCTTTGCAGTTGTTTTCATATAAACTAGAAATCATGAATGGTCCGCATTAACCTTATACCTTATACCTTCATAATTTCTGTCACACTTCAGTAATGTATTTCAGCATAAGTCAATATAAACAGAGTGGGGTAGTTCAAACATTAAAACCTCAGATAGATTTATCAAGGAAATAAGGAATAATTTTTCCTTATCCTGACTCATGCTCTTTTGCTTGTCTTCTTCTTCTTGCGAACATAGTGGAAACACTTGTATCTCCTAATTGAAGCTCCCTTCAATGTATAATCACTAATTAATACTCACCACGACTTGCCTCCCTTTGTCCCAGCGCAGGAAAGGTGGCACCACCCTCTGGCCACATGCTTCACTCTCTCCTTCTTCGCCCAGTGAGCAGGATGTGAGAGCGCCTGTGTCTCCTTGCACACTATATCCTTTGATTATTCTTAGTTTATTACCTCTTATTACTTACTAAAGAGGTGTAGCTAGTATCCTTTAACAATATGTATTGATTATTACTCGTAATTCTACTGTTTATTCACGGTTTTCTGTGATTGTTCAGCCTAGTTTACGTGGATGAAAATCTGTACTGTTTGTAGATTACGTTTTTCTGCTGCTGATCCGCATTTAATATGTCCTAGCTGTATTACGCCTTGTGCGTTTACTTCACGTTGCAGTTACTGTATTAATTTATCCATTTCTGCATTTAACAAATATCGTTTTTGCGTCTTGAGACGTGCAGCAGATAGGTCACGTAAACAAGCCTTAGTCATGGCCGATACATCGGACCCTCTAGCCAGTCAACTGCTGTCGGACGACCCCCTCCCGTCTGGTGTTCCGCTAGAGATTCCTTCGGAGGAGGGGCGTGGCATTCAGTCTGCCGCCTCCAAAAAGCGTCCTGCTTCCCCAGACATCCCGTCTTCGCAGCAGAAGTCTAAGAGGGCATCGACTTCGTCACAGCGTAAACTCCGTACCCCCAGGGCAGCGCCGACCTCCAAGGGAAAAGCTAAGAAGCCAGCTAGAACTTTCTCAGCTGAGATTCTCCCCGCCACTGAACTGGGCCTGTATGACGACCAGCCGATCATCATACCCGATCTACGCCACAAGAAGCGACCGGTGTCAGCTACAGTAACGTCAGCAGAGATCGCCAGGCAGCCTGATGTCTCTACACTGATATCCGACGATCATTCTGAGGGGCCCGTCGCTAACCTCGCAGAGAGGGCATCGACGACATCGTCGCAGACCATCCCAGACGACATGATGCAGAAGATCATGCAGATGATGGAGGACCGTTACAGACTGCAACCAGCCCATAAGGACCTCCACGAAGGCATTAACGCGAGACGAAGTGCCCAGAGGGACACTCCGTCAACGTAGAGGTCACGACCAAGCCACCTTCACGAAGGAAGTCACAGTCTACCTCCAGGAAGGACCCAGATGAACAGCCTGCACGAAGGGTTAGAAGATCATCACCTTCCCCGGACTCAGAGGATCATCACTCTTATAAAGATTCCAGAAGGAAGACTACGTGTCCTTGGACTCAGACTTGGACCCTCCGACTTCACGAAAGCCTTCGCGAAGGTCAAGCCGTCACTCCTCAGAACCGGATACAGTTAAGGCTTCACGAAGGGCTTCACGAAGGACTCCAGTAGCAGGTTCTAAATCATCTTCGTCCAGACGATCATCTGCAGATTCCTCAAGGGCTTCGCGAACCTATCAGCGTTCGCCTCACAGATCTCCGCGAAAGTCTAGACGCAGCTCATCAGATCATATCGTTCGCCTCGCCGTTCACCTCGACGATCACCTCGACGATCACCTCGCCGATCTCCACATCGATCTCCACACAGATCTCCACACAGATCTTCACACAGGTCCCAAGTCAGGTCTCCATTATCGTCTCCATGTACAGCGATAGAACCATATATACCGTCATCACAAGACGCTGAGATACGATACTGGATGGTAAACAACCTAGACCTTTCTTCACCTTCCAAGAGTAACAACTCGGCGCAGACTTATCTGATGAAGGAGGACGATGCTGATGCCATCACCTTACCACCGATCGACCCGATTGCTGCAGTAACGAAGAATTTGGACTCAGCCTTCCACAAAGCCACTAAAGTCCAAACAGCACATTTACCACTGTTCCATGCTAACAAGTTTTCAACCCACAACATGGAACTGTTCCTCAAGGCACAAGACATAGATGACAACTATAAGTTGATCAATGATGTCAAGAACAAGAACTACAAGATTGACGATCGCAAGTTGGTTCAGTTAGAAACCATGACTAGGCGAATGTTCTTTGGCCTTAATAGATCTAGAACGATCAATGAGACTCTTATCACCAGATTTCGTGACACGACATCTGAAGATGATAGAATGATTTACTCGGCCCTACTTATGCAGAAGAAGGACCAGCAGTTCCTAACGGATCATCTCACAGCAGTCTCAGCAGCCTTAACCCTAGCCCGTCGTCAAGGCCTCCTCGCTTCCTGCAACTGGGGTGAGCAGTTTACAGCTCCACTCTATACAGCCCCGTGGTCTGCTTCATCCATCTTCGATGGAGGAATAGAGAAAGTCTCCAAGGAAGTCACTAAGGATTCCAGAGAAGTCCTTATGATTAAGTCAATGGATACGCTAGCCAGCGTCATCAGACAGACTTCACAAAGATATTCAGGAAAATCTAAATTCACTGGATTACAGAGAGCACGGGAAAAAAAGATAGCCAGTTCCAGGGGAAGAGATTCTTTTCGTCGCCCATTTGGCAACTACAGAGGAGGATCAGGAAGAGGCAGGGCACCCAGAGGTTCCCGCAACTATAAACGCTGAAAGTCAGGTTCGGAACGACTGGAGTCTTCCACCCCCAGCCGTTCCAGTACAACCGTCACAAGTGGGTGGACGCCTCCAACTATACTGGGAGAACTGGGGAATGTTTCAAGACCCATATGTCTCCAACATTCTTCATCACGGATATCGTATCCAACTAAAGGCCATGCCTCCGCTGACAGTCAACCATTACAAGTTCGACTTCCAGACACAACAACTACCAAAGTTAAGAGAGGCCATTACTTCCCTCCTGAACAAGCAGGCCATAGAAGTACTAGATCAAGTAAACATCGAACCAGGTTTCTACTCTCCAGTTTTCCTAGTACCCAAGAAAAACTCCAAGGAGAAATACAGACTCATCTACAACATGAGCACGTTCAACAGAGATTATCTACGCAAACCACCGAAGTTTCGCATGATACATCTACCCCAGTTACGGCACTTAATCCGTCACATGGATTACATGGCCAGTATAGACCTACAAGATGCGTATCCACACATCCCGATACATCCCGAATCCTAGAAATATCTACGGTTTACACTGGACGGGCTGCATTACCAATGGAAAGTACTCCCATTCGGAATATCATCAGCCCCATGGTTATTTACAAGAGTAACGAAACCCATCGTCACCTACCTACATCGTCAAGGGCTACGCCAGTGCGTTTTACCTCGACGACGGACAACAAGTAGATCAAGATCCACAGCATCTCAAACTACAATTAAACTACATCATCAAGCTACTAACACAGCTGGGATGGTTAGTAAATCTACTCAAGTCGGACCTAGTACCTTTGCAAGATCTGCAGTTTCTAGGCATTCGATTTATCACGACGCTCAACCGTATCATCGTTCCAGAAGACCGCTGGCTCAAGATCCAACAGACCATTCCACCAGCGCTACTCTCTCCATTACCACTACGACAATGGCAGAGTCTATTGGGTCTCCTCACGTCAGCCCAAGACTTGACACTAAGAGGCAGGCTACAGTTACGCCCATTACAGGTCTTCATCAACGCTCATCTCGACGATCTACAACCATTCAGTCTACCGGCACACCTCAGACCTCATCTACTATGGTGGACCAGGAGGTCGAATGTCTGCGAAGGCATTTATTTAACAGAGCCGGAATTCCAAACCCATCTCTATGTAGACGCGTCGCTCCAAGGTTGGGGAGCTCATCTCGCCAACCGGACGACATCAGGCATATTGAATCAGCAAGAAAGCAAGCTCCATATAAACATGTTAGAGATGAAAGCGGTAATCAACGCCATACATCATTGGAGTACCATTCTACGACAGGCACATCTGATGATTCATACCGACAACTCAACAGTGGCATATTACGTGAACAAACAAAGCTTAACGAGATCATCAAGCCTATTGACTGTATGCTTTCAACTGTTCGATCTAATCAACGATCTAAACCTACATGTCAGAGCATGTCACATTCCCGGAGCCAAGAATGTACTAGCAGACGCACTCTCTCGGCCACACCTACCGGCACCGACAGAATGGATGCTCCACACAGAAATCTTCGCACAGATTATCAAACAATTAGGAGCGCCGCTAGTAGACCTATTCGCCACTCGCTTCAACAATCAGCTAACGACATTCGTATCACCTGTCCCGGATCCACAAGCATGGGCAACGGACGCTCTAAGCATATCCTGGGAAGGCCTCAACGCGTACGCGTTTCCGCCGCCAGTGCTAATCCCTCAAGTGTTACAGAAAATCAGACAAACACAGAACCTCCAACTCACTTTGGTCGCGCCCTACTGGCCAGCCAGAACGTGGTTTCCCATTCTAATTCAAGAAATCGGACAACCAACACTAAAGCTACCAAAGCGCTCGAATCTACTAGTACATCCTCACACCAAACAAGCGCACGGAAACCCAGAAGTGTACCAACTTCACGTATGGACTGTATTAAAGTGTGTTTGAACAAGAGAGGATATTCTACAAGAGCGGCAAAAGCAGTCATGCTTGCTTTACGCTATTCTACTCGTAACTTGTACGACGACAAGTGGCAAAGTTTCGAAAACTACGCAGCAAAAATGGGAATTTACAGCGAGAGATGCTACACATCCACAAGTGGCTGATTATCTGTGTTACCTACGTCAAAAGAAACATTTGAAGGGCTCGACATTGTCAACATATCTTGCCC